AAAAAAATGTCACCTGCATATTTTGCATGCTTTCTTTAAGAATCTGTAATCACAATGCCTGAAAAAGTTCTTTTACGTATGAAGGACAGAGACTGCTATCCAAGGCCCATCCAAGTCCGCAGCAAAAATCCCTACTGCTTTACTTATTTATTAATTAAAACATTTATATCCCACCTTTCATCATCCATCAAGGGAACTGGAGTGCTCCCAGGGCCTATTTGTAGCCATTATATATTTTTGTGACTTCTAGATTCCTGAGAATAAAGGGGGATTATGAAAAAGAAACATTACACCATTATGGTGGGCTAGAATCGGATTCGACTGGCTTTCGAGTAAGGGAACCTTTACCTTTACCTTTTACAGTTCGTCAATGATGCTTGAGCAGCAGCATCTTTGGCTTCCAATAATTTTTTAAAGATTTTAATGGTTTTACTTGGTCCTTTAAAATAAAATCTGCTCTGTGTCATCATCCCTAATTTCCTCCCTAAAGAATGCCTGGATAGATAGTAATTCCCTGTTAGGAAAACTGAGGCATTTTGACCACTTTGGTTGTCATTTTATATTTTGGTACAAGACTGGGAAGAGAGTTCTGTTTTACCTTTAAATAAAGTTAAACTACCACTTTGGGTTAAAAGTACTCTAGAAATGGAGACTAAGGATGTGTGGGAAAGGTGGATCACGTAAGAACCAGTGCTTGTATGTGGTTTTGGGACTTGATAGATCGAATATTGATTTCAAGCACAAAGGACATTTTCAATACAGGAGATTGAAAAGTGCTAGAACAGGGGGAGTTTTCACCAAAATTAAGGTAAATATCTAAGAAAATGTTCCATAAGGCCCTCTTTGCCACACGCACAATTACATTGTTTACAGTTATAGATTTTCAGTCAAGTTTCTTTGGATCATTATAAAACTTATTTATCTTTTTTCCTTAATGTATTAGAAAAAGTGATCACCTAAGATAGTTTGCAAAACACCATGGCCTCTGCATGTGCTTCATGAATTTACCAGGATCTGTCCCCCAACCCTGAGGTCCCCCCCCCCAAGTACCATAGAGATCAAGAGAAAGAAACATTCAAGAACAGAGAGAAACAGGTTAATTTTATGAGCCATTTTTTGCCAACATGTTGATCTAATTCAAGCATGCCTGTAGCTTTCGTGTGAAATAATTTGCTGTTACATCTTAGCCAAAAGCATGCTGAAAGTTGTGTGTTTATGCTAAAGATGAAAGTAATGAATTCCCTTTCCTGCAGCATCTGCCAAAGCTAGCTTTAGCTTATGGAAGTGAAGGCTGTAGCAAGTTAGGCTGAAATCTAGGCATGCTAATGCAAGACTCTAATCTACTGCAGTTACCAGAATTCATTTCCAAGTAAATGTGTTTAGGACTGGGTGGACAGGTTCCAAGGTGCCAGTGGATTCTTTTGTCTTCTTTCCTGATTGGTCTCAGAAACAATGGTTTCCTTATTCAGATTTTAGCATGTATTGAAATGGCATAGAAACCTTTCAAAATGTATCTTCAACAGCCCATTTTTCTTAAAACTATGTCAAAGAAATCAACAGTCTCCTTAGAACTTACCGAACTTTCATCCCAATCCGTGGAATGTACTTCCAGGCTGTTGAGTTAGATTGTGATTCTCAGGCTAGCCCTATTTACTCAGAAGCAATTCCTGTTGAAATCAAGGTATCTTCAAATAAAGCTAGGTTAAGATCCTGGCGGTGTGCGGTTAATTGTGACAGGAAGGAAGGGCCTTACATCAAATAGTAAAATGAGCATTTGGCCTTGCAGAATTGAGAAACTATCAAAAGCAAAGGGAGGATAAAAGGTTTACCATTTGGGGCCTGGACAGAAGACCAGAAGCTATCAAGTGCTAGGGTATAGTAGTCCTTACTCTTGACCTTGTAAAGCCTCCCGAGAGTACAAGCATGGCAGCCATGCGAAAGAGGAACCCCAGACACGCGAGAGAGAAAGGAAAGGTAAACAGCCACAATAGGTGTTATCAATCCCTTTGTGAATATGGGAAAGTGATGGTGTAAAAAAGAGCCTACTAATTCAAAATTGGGGGTAGATTTTTTTTTTACGGGGGGGGGGGGAAATAAGAAGCCATAATGCACAATTCTTAAATTAATTCAGATCATCATCCTCAACAAAAGGAAGACTCAACAGCTCTCCTGAACTGTGCAGGTGGAGAGGGACTTGGATTCTTAAATTAGCAAGAGAGCTCCATTTGGTAACAGGGACAGAATAAAAGTGGAGTTCTCCAGCAATCGTTAATAGGGATACACTGCATAAGGAAGGACGGCGTGACAAAATGTAGTGTAACCCTTATGTTCGTTGCACATCTATAATTCATTCCCCATCTATATTATATTACAGCTTTGTTATAAACGTGCGTAAATGTTGGCAGTCGGTCCCGTCAGCCCTGCAGTTTGTGTTGAAGTATACTCAAGAATATTTTTTTAAGATGCACATGTAGCTTTATGAAAAATGAACATTTTCAGGAACCCAAATGGCCCACAGAAAGAATTTGCCTGCGGCAAAGAGCTGATTATGAGCCTAGGAATTTTGCAGGGAAGCAAAGCTACAAACAGCGTTCATCTGAATATTTTGCAGCATTTCACAAAGCAAAAGTTCAGGGAATCTCATGTGTTTGGGGTGGCCTAGATGACGCTGACTAGAATTGGAATTAATGAGCTCTGCACTTCTTACGTTGAACAGAAAATTATTAAGGGCTGTGGGGTCTTCTTAGAAGACATATATGGGAGAAGTTGCATGGATTCCTGAAGAATATGCGGCACCACTATGGCAAATTCAACAACCCTTTCCTCTATGAGTTCTGTTGGCACTTCTGTAGGTGTTTACATGACATTTGCATCCCTTGTTTGACTAAAGAGCCAAAAAAATACTTCAGTGAAGTGTGCTAAAAGGATGAAACTGTTTGATACAGACAACTGTAGCTCAGTTATCTGTCAAAAGTGTTCTTTGATCTCACTGAAAATCTCTATACTTACCCTTTTCACAGACAAGGAATCAAAAAAAGGGTGACACACGCTTTTTGCATTCTTTGCTGTTATCTTTTCCTACCCCAGTTGAAAACACCAGGAACTGTTTTTTGGAGCGGAATGCTTATTTGTATGTTCAGCCAGAAGCTGAGATCCCAAAGACTTTGCAGAAGTCTTGATATTATGTCAGGATGAGATGTTGTCCCTTAATGTATCAAATGGCTGGTCTAAACAATTTCGGGAAGGGGGGGGCAGAATGCTTGTTTATGTAAAACTCCAAACTTCGTCGATCCACCAGTCTCTAGCTGACATTTTGAAAAGAGTCATAGCTATGATGTTGTTTGTAATAGTCAGAATTAGGAAAATACCCAAGGACATTCTGGGTTAATGTATGTCCTTCTGTCAGTCAATTTACCATTGGGATACAATGCACTTGTTGTAGCTTCCACACACACACACACACAGCCCATCCCAACTTTATCGTTAAGGTAACATAGAGACTTCCATTATAATAATCCTCTTCACACGCTTATAAGTCTGCAAAATTATTCTCTTTGGCTGAAATTTCCCATTCTCATCCCAAAGGTGAATGTATTTATGCAGAAAGCTTGAGCAGAAACCATTCATGCATTTTCAAGTCACGCAAAGGCCGGGAAAAAATATATCTATTCTACTCTAAAAGCAGGCGGTTTGTTTGCCGCTCCTTCCCCCCCCCCCAGTCTCTGCCTCACTCCAACATGTCTATTATTCCTCTAACAGCAGAGCTTTGAAAGTTGACGTTTTCCAGGTGACTAGTCCTCACTGAGAGCTGCTCTTCAGGATAATTTGCCACCCCCAAAGAGGTGTGATTGCAGTTCCAAACCATACAGCTCTCTTTTGTGTACCTGAAGGAGGCTAACATTTCTGCTGCAGCGGCATATGGTCTCTGGGACTGGGAACGTTTTTCCTTTCGTCGATGTAAATCTTTTATGAAAACTTACGCGGTTTCACATTTAACTGAGAGGTTTCCCAAAAAAAACAATTTAGGGAATTTCCAGGAAATAAAGTGTTTCATTATATCCTTCTCCTGCAGTATGTTCTATAAATTTAAGCTTCTTGAGGCAAAGATACAGTTCAGACTTGAGTGCATAAGGATCTTTTTTTAAATAAATAAATAAATCATATTTGAAAAAATAGATAAAATATAATGTTAATATCTGGATTTTGTTTTGACTTAAAAGAAGAATCATGTATACAAACATGTGCGTGTTAGCATGTGCATAGAGAAACCTGAATTTATTACGTCTGGTTGGCAAAAATATCTTTAAAAGTATCCCCTCTGTCAAGTCTAAGACCAGTTTAGACCTACTAGTCTAGTTTAGACCTACTAGTTTAGACCTACTAGTCTTGACAGAGAACAGTGTATATCAAGCGCGCTGACTCCAGAATAACTGGGTTGAGAAACCAGTCATGATTTTAGATTCCTTTGTCAGTGGTTGAAGATATTTGAGAACTAAAGGCTATGTTTGGGAGGCCTATGTCTAGAATACCCTTCGTTTACTAAGTCTGGAGTCTCCTTTTGACACTCGCAATGGAGGAAATAATTTCAAGTGGAGATGAAACTATCAAACTTTAAATGTCCCATTTGTACACAAATTTCAGTTTGTACCGCAAGTTAATTGTTCGCCTCACTTTTCATCAAGTTTTAACATACCTGTAATGACACAATAGTACTTGTGGAAACTTACTGTCATTTTAAAAGGTTGTGTTGAAAGAACTGTGCCAGATCATCAAAAAGACTGGCTTATTGTCAGACATTCAGAGGTACGTCTGACTTATCAGTAGCTAATTGGTTCAGAATGAATTTCAAGATAAAACACAGTTTACTTAGTTTTAACCACGGTTAGTTTCATTATTATGGTCAGAATCTTCTAGATTGAAAACTTGTGTAGTTGGATGAAAAATCTGTGTAGTTGTGAGAGAATCCAAGTGTTGAATGCTTTATTGATGTGTAACTTTCTCCTCTCCTGTTCAGGTCTTTGTGAAAAGCCTGAGACACATAGTGAACTCTAGCGGAACAGCAGTCAAGTAATATTACAGATGAAGAACAATGACGGAAATAGCTCTATGGTCTCTGCTTTCCATTCTTATTTTCACTTCCCCCCCCTAAAACACTGATTTTTTTCGTATTGACAGACAAATATATTAAAATTGCCATTTGCACCATTTGTTGTGGACAGTAGACTGGGACTTGTTTAACCAGTTGGTGGACAAAATGCTTCCCATGATAAGAAGACTGTGGTGTCATTCAGTTGAATTTCTAAGAAATCCGGTGGCTCTTTGTGAGAGGAATGATTACTTGTGACTGGTAGAATGTTGACTAATGCTTATCAATACTGAGAGGCGACAGAGTCAAATTGTTGTGCTTACATATCTGTCATTTTAGCCACCAATCGGTTTCCTAAACTGTATGAATATGGAAGGCCCAGCCGTAAAATATGGTGGGGGGGGGACCTTCTGAGCTCATATTTGGCAATTGCTGACATTCATGTGATCACCTGGAAATCACAGAGTAAATGCTGAACCACTCCTTGACCTGTCAAGCAACTCTGTGGCAGATATGCAAGTTTCTTGCATCTGTAAAGCGCGTCCAGTAATTGCTTTTATTGGAAGGTATTTTATATTACAAATTTGCACAATGTATTTGTTCAGAATTTGCAATGCTTTATAAGTAAAAAGCTCACTCTTTACTAGCTCTTGCGCTATAGCTAACATAAAATGTTTCTCACTTTCTGGTAAATTTTTCTTGATAAGCATAAGTACATTCTGCTTATGGGCCAGATCACATGCTGATCACCAACAAATTTTAAAAAATATTATTGGAAAAGTAGAAATCTTAAAGTCACCTACAGGTTTAATTAGAGAGTTGGCGGGGCAGGGTGCAAAATATTCTATCAAAAAATAATTTTGAAGAATAAATAGATTTTCTGTTTTGAGTTAACCAGAGATTCAATGAAAACCTTTACACAGTTTAATAGAAACATTCAGGAGTTTAAAAAGGAAGGAGCATCCTTGAAATGCCTCCAAATAATGACAGAAGGTGTCAATGTTGAAATATCAAAACCTTCACCATGTAAAGTGTCTTATTAAATTCAGAAGGAAAACCCTTGCATGCTTTATTCCTACTAATCAAATTTCCTCTGATGTCTTTACAGGATTTAATAATTGCAGAATTTAGGCCGGCAATGAGTTCTCTTGAAATCTGATTTACTTTAATATTAGACCTGAAGTATATTTTACGTATGAGCCAGGTACATGATCTTGGTGCATTCATTCATTGGAAACTTGCACTAATTTGGTTTTAACTGGAGCTAATAGCCTCGCTTTATAACTTAAGCAGAATTCCAGTTTCATGGTTTACAGTCTTAACCCACAAGCCTTCCAAGGGACAAATGGCCAATTTACAATGAATGGTAACCTGACTCTGAACATAATACTTGAAAGTAAGTCCCATTGATATCAATGGATGTATTTCCAAGTAAATATGCTTATGGCTGGCATGATACTACCATTCCAGCGAATGGAACTTCATTGGCTTACATTCAGTTGTACCTATTTCAGTTTAATTGGATTGGGCAACATGGAAGGCATAGGACTGCAACCCCGATAACGTTTTGCTAGAAACGAACCCCATTGAAAATCAATGGAGTTTACTCCAAATAATTATTTATTTAGAATATTTCACTGCCACCTCTTCAAAGTCCTGCTCAAGGCAGCTTACTGTTAAAAACCACAGTATGAAACACAAGCCATTAGACATCAGCAGCATAAGAACTGTAAAAAGATTAGTATAACAATAAATGTAACGAAGCCTAGAATCAATGCCTTAATATTCGCTTTGTTACCGAATTTTATTCTTTCACTCACTGGCAATTCCTCATTTATAACAATTTTAGCAAGAGGTTCCATCTAAATAAAATTAACTGTTTTTAAACATTTGTCAAACACTTTCTCAATTTTGTACTTTTTGTAGTAACTTTCTATTGTCTACCCCTGGAATTGACATTACCTTCTTTCATTTCAGCCACACATTTGAGCTAATTGGCTAGGTTTCTGCTCTGTCGATGAACAAAAATGAACACCCCCAAATCAATTTGAGGACTTTAATTTTGACATGGAACTCATGTGCTTAGCAAACACCCCGAATATGTAGAAGAAATCGGGAGGTTTCCAGTTGGCTTCATTTAGACAAATAAAGCTAGACACTCAGTCCCTATTCATGGCGGATAGAAAATTAAATGGAAAGGGTCAAATTGCTTCCTTCACACTTCATGGAATTGTATTGATTTTTTTTTAGGGCCAAGATAAGGAAAGAACTTACCCAAAATCTATATTTTATATATATTACAGAGGGTCATAATCAACTTGAAATCTCATCAGTTTATTCTAATTGCTCAGGAGTGGTCTCAGTATCCAAATTAGTTTGGGGGAATGGTCAGCCATTTTTCCCTTTAAAAAAAGACATTCCTATTTGTACAATCCCTCCAAAAGCAAAGGAAAGTGACTTGCATATTGGAAAACCCAGTGTAGGTATGAAACTCTGTGGAGAACCTCCTACTAGATGCATGAAGTAAACCAATTTGAAGGTGTAAACAGTGCAAAGAGTTGCTTTCCTCCTATCTCTCCAATGATCTTTGATATTGCTGTTTACAGATGACAGTAAAAGACTGTCCAACTGAGTACGATTGTTTGTGTTTTCATAAACACCTACATTTAGCACTTTGACACTGGGTTAACACTTTATTTATTGGGCAAATACTGGTGTACCTACAAGATATGAATGACTCTGAATTTGCTTGGCTTATCACTGGATTCCCAGCATCCGTTTGTTGTGTTGAAACCATGCCTTACAGTGATAGAAGTCAACATAGATTTCAATAGGCTAAAAAAGGCAAGGACTCCATATATTTTTTCAGTAACTGCGGGTTGTGTCTTAATGAACATTGGTTTGTATCCCCCCCCCCTTGAAAAACCACTAACTACTTTCAAAGCCATGCCATGAGATCTCAATGGAGGACCTTGCCAAGTGGCAACGCTTATCAGCTTTCACAAACACTAATTCCATCACTCTGACCTGGATAGCCCAGGCTAGCCTGATCATGACAGATCTTAGAAGCTAAGCAGGTTTGGCTCTGGTTAATATTTGGATGGGAGACCACCGAGGATGCAGAGGCAGGCAATGACAAGCCAACCCTGAAAGTCTCTTGCCTTGAACACCCTATAGGGTCGCCATAAATTGTCTGTGACTATGGCAAAAAAAAAAAAAATCCATCAAGATCAACAGAAATTTGCCAGCACAAATCTGAGGTAGGTAAGTTCTAGTAATTTAAGATATGAACATGCACACACATGGCTGAAGTAAGCTTGCTACCTTCATGCTACAGTCCTATACATGTTTACCTAGAAGTAAATCCCACTGAGTTCGATCAGGCTTAATCCTGGGGGCATAGGACCACTGCCTTCACTTGGGAAATAATGAATGGTCTGACCATTCACTGCATTAGTGGGGTGAAAAAAGTAGGTACATCAACAGTCTTCTTGCAAACCTCAGTGGATATCTATCAATATTTCATTATTAAATATGCCATCAGGACACAGATCTCTGCTAGCTAAAGGTCATTAGGGTCTTTTTATTATGCTATGCAGCACAATGTATTTCTACAAAATAATGTAACCATTCATAATTATGGGGAATTTTTAGAAGTCTTGCCGTTACTCCTAGTTGCTTTGATATGATCCTGTTCCTTCAAATACGTATTTTGAATATGAAGGTAAGTTTGTTTGCAATATGCCATTTTTTCACTCAGAAAAGTAAAGTTCGGTCCATAGTAAGTTTAAAAAAAAAACACGTAAGGTGACTACCACTCTACTTTCTAAGAACAAGCTCTCATTGTGCAGAATGAGGGCAGAAATAAATATACTTTTCCATGCTACATTTTTCCAAGTCTTCAGATGTGGGTGGCTCATATCTTGAAATAACCCCATAAGTCACCCTATGTTGATGGCATTTCTGAGCATATCATTATTAGGACAATCCTGAAAGGAGAACATTTTTTTTCTTTCTCCCAAGTATTATGAAGAAGAAAATTTAAAAATCATGGAACCTTTCTTTTAAAAAAACACACCCTGGTTTATTGATCAAAGAGAGTTGATGTATATCATTAAAATATGGCACATACTATCTTGCAAAACCTGATAATCTAAGACAGCAACATTGCTAGGGAATCTTACCTTCCAACTGGATGGAATATTTTCAGATCAGTAAATTTGTGGTTGGTTTTGCAAGGCCATGATCCTAAGGGCACTTAGTTGGAAGTAAGCTCCCTTGAAGCCAACAGGTCTTACTTTCAAGTAAATATGTTCAGGTGTGTTAAAGACCTAATGGAACTGAATAACATGGTATGCCATTGCTTGATGAAATATTTCTGCTTAATTAGCAATTAAGAGTAAGCCACTGTGATTAGTGGAAATGCGAAGTTTAGCTCCTAGCTCTGACAGTTCTTATTTTACTAACACATGAAAATGTTCACACTAAGCCCAGGAGAGGAAAAATAGTAAAATCAATTATCCTGATGAGAAAGCATATTTTATCTGTAGCAAAAAAAAAAAAAATCTGCCAGCTGTACAAACATAAAAATGAACAAGATTAGTTCAGCAAAACGGTTCAAGGAGCCCACAGCCCAGTCCATGAGGGCTTCATCCTGCTAAGGTCAACCATGCTGTGCCCATCTGCGATAGCCAAATCCCCGGCCTCTGTTGTCATTCAAAACAAAGATGGTGACCGGGTAAGAATCACACACTTACTTTTTAATGGTCGATTTCATTTTCCACATCAGGTCGATCAGGCAAAGAGCTCAGGTTTGCTGTGACTGATATTATATTTAATGTGGACTGATACTGTTAGCTAGGAATGAGCTGCCGCCACTACATTCACAGCACTGAGGAGTGGAGGGTGGAATTGAACCAAAGGTCCCCAATGGGAAAGATCAATACTTTATTTACTAAGATAAGCC